TCAATTATTCTCCAACAATTAATTTAGTCTTCTAGAACTAGGTTGTAAAAATCCAGCAAGCCTCTTTACTCTTATGCAGGAGCCATCGGATTTTTGCTGCCTAGATCTGGTAGCTATAACTAATTAACCTTTTATTTCATCTTAGACAAGCCAATGGTAATCATTTCAAATTTAGTAACTGAAGAGTTTTGTTTGGATTTTCCAGCCAAAATCATATTTGTTCATCAATCCCAGTTGCATTATGTCAGCTTGACCCATATATAAACAAAGGCAGGTTATCCCACTAGTTATTTTCAAGTTGTCGTCATAAAGCCTCCTTCCTCTAGCAACTATAATAAGGATAACCCAATACAAAATAGTAGAGTCAAGTTTTATGGCTATGTTACAATTTCATTTCAAATTACCTATAGAAACATTACAAAGATATAAATAAACAGGTAACAGATATAACTTTTCCAAGTATTGAACTTGCATTATGGAAACAGGCCTTATTACAGATTATTACAAAAGTAGGAATAAAAGATTCTTGGTAAGGAAGATTATTTCCATCATATAATTCAATTGTGTCTTTTAAACTAGTATAGATGTTAACATAGATTGGCTAGATTTACTAAGAGATCCAATTTGGTCTATTGGTTAAGGTACTGGATTAGGAGCAGAGAAACATGAATTCTAGTTCTACCTTGGGCACAACAATCAGATTAGTGAGTTTGGGCCACTCTCACTTTCTTTTAACCTAGTAATAAGGCAATAACAAACCACTTCTGAAAAAGTTGTCAATGTATTTGTATTAAGAGAGACATAGAATCATAGAGCTGGAAAAGCCATTTACCCATTGAACCATCGTCACTGATATCATCTTAAATTTGCCTCCTCTGCATATGCCCTTGGACGTCTTTTGTATATATGATCCTGGTAATCTTTATAATCCTGTAGAGTAGGCCAGTTTAACGTTACAAATGATTCCTGGTAATGTAATGTAATGTAATAGAAATAGGATAAATGCATGTCTTACGCATACTTCTCAATGAAATGTTTTTTTGTTTCTTCTTTTAGCTCATAATTTGTAAGTCAGGGCAGTGAAAAATGGTATCACTAGCTAGGTAATCAAACCTTTGCAATGTTCATTCAGATACATGGATATAAATTATTTTAAGGAAACAGCAGAAATCTTTATTTCTGCTAATTTGTTAGAAAGCTAATGTGGTTAATGTATAAGAATACAAATATATGCTGTTTTCTAAAATATGCCCACTGCCATCTAGTGGTTAGTAATTGGTTTTTTTTCCATTAGAAATAGAATCTGTATTACTTCATCTTCAGGAAGTGATATAAAATTTATTATCTATGATTCCGGGCTCCCCTTTTCATATGAAATTTGAAGCTATTTCTACTTACTATTTCCTTAGCAAGCCTAGCTATTCTATTCATTTTGACAGAGACAGTGTGTTCAGTTTCTTTATACTACATTCTTTATATCTGTTTAGCTTTGATGTAAAACTGGTTTGCAACTTCCTGGTCTCTCCTAGTTCTACTATCCCTTTTGGCAACCCTTTGGGTAGCCAAAATTCCATGTTGATATTTCTTTCTGTAATAAGGAAACCACTTTTAATCAGGGTATCTTCAGTGTAGGAAACAATGATAGATGCTACATAAACAGATGGACGGACAGACAAATCAGACAGACACCAGTGAAAGATACTTTTCAGTTACATTCCCTGAAAAGAAGTAGTCCCTTGGCCTGAAGTATAGGGATACATTAGGTTGCTATATTACTAAAGTTAAACAAATCTTAGTTGGGCTAAGCTGTGGATAACAGAGGGAAAATTCCATTAGCTATTTGAAGAAAAAACATAGCAAGTTGTTATCTTATTAATTAATACATTGGCACATTAATAATTTCCAATGACTGATGCAATAATAATAATAATTTAGCTCCTCTGCTTTTCCCTGTCATGCTGAAATACTCTTTTAATAGTTTTATCTTTGTAATACTTCTACAGCTTCTGATAGACAGACAGCTTTGGAGATATTTTAAATAGCCATCAATTGCTTCTTCTAGTACTTTTCTGTGTACTGCTTTATTGTTTTGTCCTTGAAGATTTTGTTGCAGTTGAGAGAACTATAATAGATATATAAAATATGATTACAACTATATATCATTTGTAGATGCATGTGCAACTTTTATTTAGCACACAGCCAATAATCTGGTGTTGTTATCTCACCTTCCTATATATTTCTTTGCTTTAATATATAAACAAAGAAAAAAAGATTTCAAAAAAATAAAACCAAAAACAGATAAGGCAGAAAGGTCATTTAAAAAAGACAAAAAATATGCACTCGTACAAAACAGCTCAGTTTTTAAACACAACATTAAACATGATCGCAATAAAGATTAGATTGACTGAACATTAAACACTGACCACACAGAATAATATTGATCAGTTTTTCCATTGTATTAAAAAAAAAGTCCATTCACAAACAGAGAGTAAACATATATCACCAGTCCAAGATCATAAATCTGGCATGACACTGTCTTTCCATCATAAAATAATATTTCTTTGCTACGGCTTATGCTTAATAAATCTATGGTTCTTCATAAAATGATTAATTCCAAATGTTTGGCATATTTCAAACTCTATCAAAACTACTGTCAGCATCACAGTAATAGCTTTAAACTATATTATTTTTCCTAAAACCACTGTAACAAACTTAAAACAAAATAACAGAGGGCCAAGATGTATCACATGCATATCCTTTCACCTTTTTATAGAGCAGTGGTTCTCAACCTGTGGGTTGGGACCCCATTTGGGGTCGATCGACCATTTCATGGGGGTCGCCAAGCAAGGCTGTCCGCCATTTTTTTTGTCCGCCATTTTTTTTGTCCGCCATTTTTCCTCCCCTTTTCCGGCGGGTGCCTTACCTCCCTTGGGCTGGGCCAGCTGGTGGTCGGCCTGCTCCGTCTCTGCCGCTTGCCAGCTACGCCTCGGCCGGCGCAGGGGGCAGAACCACGCATGCGTGGCGCTCCCGGGCAGGGAAAGTCCTCGACTTACGACCGGTTGGGTAGTCCTCGACTTACGACCAGTTTAGTCCTCGGCTTACGACCGGTTTAGTCCTCGACTTACGACTGGTTTAGTCCTCGACTTACGACCGGTTGGGGTCGCGGCATTAAAAAGGTTGAGAACCACTGTTATAGAGCATAATGAAGATGATTGGCAGTTAAACTATTTTTTCCTCTATTTTTTATTAGTCGAAAAAAGAATGGCTTTATTTTGGATTCAGCCACTATCACAAAGCCAAATCTCATTGGTTATGTGGCATCACAAAACCAAACTAAGGTGAAACCAGTCCTTCCTGTCCCTATATGTACCCTATGAGTGCAAAGTGGAGAAAGAAATGTAATAGTATCAAGCTTCATAGACAATAACATTGCTGGAAATCATTCCCTCGAGATATCCATACTGCTTCTCATAAAATCTTAAGCCCTTTAAAATGTGTACAAAGAGGAAAGCATTATGGCTCAGTTCTAATTTCAACTAGCTTTTCCATTTCTGTTTTCCAAACTTTGCTACCATCAGCTTGTCCCCAGTAAGCCTGTGCAAAAAGTTCATGTGAGAAATAACTGGTTTTAAGTGAAAGAAATTATAATCTAAAATCAAATTATACCTGAAAAAGTATTTGGATATTTTTAAAAATATTTTTGTAAAAAAAAACCAAACTTAAACATAATTTTATGTCAGGTGTACTGTACTGCAATCTATACACAAGAATCTGATCTATTAATGGCCCAGGCAAACTGGCAACTGGCAACGGACTTCAAGGGTGTCTGGACTTACATTGGGGCTGTTTTTTCCTAGTAGCAAGATCTCATAATGAAGGTTCCTTTGACATTTGATATGAAAAAATGGCTCTGTCTTAGTTGTCCAAGATCAGGTGCTTCGTAGCTGAACTATCTCCATTCTTATCTTAATTGCAATTAATGGAAGAATTTCACATATGATGCTAAGTCACAATATGATGTCCTGGAAGCAAAAAAATAATAGGAGGAGCCAAGATAAAACTGAAATTTCATTTCATTTACATTTAATTATCAGGTGCCCAAAGCACCTGAGAGCAGGACAAGAAGCAATGGATGGAAACTAATCAAGGAGAGAAGCAACCTAGAACTAAGAAGAAATTTCCTGACAGAACAATTAATCAGTGGAACAACTTGCCTCCAGAAATTGTGAATGCTCGTATACTGGAAGTTTTTAAGAAGAGATTGGACAACCATTTGTTTGAAATGGCATAGGGTTTCCTGCCTCAGCAGGAGGTTGGACTAGAAGACCTCCAAAGTCCCTTCCAACTCTGTTCTATTCTATTCTATTCTATTATTTTAATTAAAAGTAAAAATAATATAATTGCTTCCTAATCATAAATTTATAAGAGCCCTACACTTTACAGTTATTACTGACTTCAGGCTAATGTTTATAAAGCTGGTATTTATTTACACTAAATCTGGATATCTCTCAGTCGGATATATCTAAGAACTGAGTTAAATATTATACAGATAATAAACAATGCAAAGTCAGTCTTGAACTAAGGGTACCTAGGAGGGAAATCAGAAAATCCAAAACAAAGACATGGTAATCAATCCATCATAAAATAGTAACCCCAAGAGAACGTCATTAGATCAGAAGAATTCAGGCAGAAGGAATAGCCAAGACCTAGCCAGGAGCAAAAGAATGTGCATAATCTGAGTTTCCAGCCACAGAGGAACAAGACAGAAGCACAAGAACCAAAGGATTCCCATCTTAGTGTAGTTCTATAACTCTATAACTTAGAATTCTGAAGTTTACATATTATAACAAAATAAATCTTAAAGTTCTTGAGCCATTAATTAAACTTTTGGATGAAGGAGCTATGTAAAGTCTAGCATTTCTTATGGTTTTCTGTGAATATATGAGTATTACTTAAAAATGCTGTATATACTTAACTATTGTTTTTTAATTTATACATAGTGCATCTGGTTGACATTTGGAATGTTATAGAAGCATTGCGGGAAAACTCTTTGAACAACCTGGACCCAACTATAGAGCTGAATGTGGCTCGACTAGAAGCTGTGCTTTCCACTATTTTTTACCAACTCAACAAACGTATGCCAACAACCCACCAGATTATCGTTGAACAATCTATCGGTTTATTGCTCAACTTTTTGCTGGCAGCTTTTGATCCGTAAGTCCCTTTAATAATAATGAATGCTGTTTTTCTGTATGTTGTAGGAAAACATTAGCTCTTGAGCAAAATACTATTTCAGAAAAATGTTGAACTTATACAAAACTGAAAATTACACATTTCTATATTACCCTCAGTCTCATTTTCTTCAAAGAATTGGGAAATACACGTTCAGGAGTCATTCTTAAAAGCATTTGAATAGCCTGGAATTACAAACTGGACTGACTGACTTCTGTTCCGTGCGAGTTGCAAATTATCTATTACTGCATTACTGCTTTAACTGCATTTTATTTTGGAACTGTACTGGTTGGAAATCAACACAATTAAAGAACATTCTGATGAGTTTATTTATCTTCCCATTTGCCTATCACCCTCTTGTGTCCTCTCCAATATGCATTTGATGGACCTTTCACTTGGTACTTGTGTACTTTCCTGAGCCAGATCAACTAGTACAGCTTAGTCACCATGGAAACAGCTGAGCTGGTGGGAAAGCAACTGTTCCACGTGAAGAAGCAGCAGAGGCGCTGTATGTTTGCATTAAAATACCTCCCTTCCCCTCCCCGAGGAGAAATTGTCAGTAGGCTGCAGGAATATGGCCTTCAGGATTTTTGAAAGGCTGTACAGTAAGAGGGCAAGGTCTTTTTAATATATGCAGACCCTGAATTTTTGACTCTAACAGGAGTCAAAAACAGGAAGGAAACTAATTGCAAATGCTTGGACACGTACTCTGTTGCTCACTGCCAAGTCACTCTCACAAAATCATAACTGTGAAAATGAGATCATTATGATGTACATTTTTCTATTGTTCAATAAACCAAGAAAGATGTGAAATAGTGTTTTTTTAAATAAAGAAGAACATTGAAATTAAGTCTGTAGAATATGCTCAGTGAATGCTACGTAGGTTTTTCTTAGCTGAATAATTGAACTAGAATGTAAGTGTGTTTCCAGTTTGCTCAAGTATAGCAATTAATTTAATTGTGCAAATTGCAGTACTGAAGTGTCCAGACAGAAGACTTGGAATTTGTAAGAGCTTTCATTAAGGGATTAAAGATAAGGCAAAAGTAGCAAATCAATTGTAACAATGTAAAATGTCCTAACATTTTTTCATCTAACAATGTTTATAGCAGCATGTGGCCCAAGCATACATAAGCATATCTACAACCATGCACACATAAACACTTTCAAGCTGAAAGCAGACAGTAAATTTGAGAGGAGGGGCTTTGAATCACTGCACAACTCATTCTTTCCTGATACCAAATTGTATTTAATCTCAAGTAAATGTTGTAAAATAAAATATTTCATCCCTGGAAATCAAAGATCTAGAGCATTATAGAGGATTTACACTTTTTCATAATTCATCTGTCCCCAAAACACTTACGCTCCTCTTTAGTATCTAATCTCTGCCATAAAACAATGATCAATGTATGCTAGAATTGGGGATATTTATGTCCACCTTGGAAAATTTATAGATGAATTTGCTGCTAAAGCAGAGCCCTGTCCTTCTATAAATCTTTTCTTTACAAAACAAACACCTCATCTCAAAAATATCCAAGTACATGAAGAAAAGTGCTGTACTACTATTATTAAGTATCTACCATCCTAGGCTGAAAAAGACTTGGTTAGGAGTTGGCTGAAAGATCTCAGGCTAGAATTGAAAGTTGGAAAAAAAAACTCCTGGAAAAAGGCAACGGCCAACTAATTCTGTATGTTGCCAGGAAAACTACATGAATATGTCCGTGGAGTCATCAAGGGACCAAATGATACTAAATGAAGACTTATTTCTTATATGTGAATTTAAAAAAATATCTGAAGTCCACAATGGGAAATGCTTTGAATAGAACTAACCTAACTGCTACAAAAAATGCATAAGTTTTGAGGTTCTCAAGAAGTTTTCATTGGGCAGTATGGTACAACAAGCAACAATTACAACAAGGGAGAAACTTTCTCACAATTTAGCTAATGTTCTTGTCTCCATATTTCCATTACACATAATCTGATTATTGAATTAAACTCTTGGGGGCTGCACAATACACTGAAGCACAAATCAACCAAACAGATCAGTACAACATACTGAGTCCTAAATAATGTAATCAAAGGTAACATCAACAAAGCCTTTCATATTGTATAGAAGTGTCTCAAGGTCTTTACTTCATTCGCCAAAGTGTTTTGCATAAAAGCACTTTTGACGTCTGTAGTTTAGATTCAAACTGAAGACGCCAATTTCATGACTGAATTAATTTAACTGTTTGTTGATGTCATGCTATGCTATGCATAGAAAAGTAGCAGTGGCTAATTTCTCAGTTCTGAAATCATAAAGCCCAAGTTTAACTTGAAAATGGCCCTTGCCATCAGCAAAATACTTCATGGCAAATCATATACATTAAAAAAAGAATCAAGGATAGAAGAGGAATTAATTCAGTGTTTATTTCTTAAATTTATAATTGAACTGAAATATAATGATATTTCAGAATATTTTGCAATTTTGTAATTTGTACACCTTGATTAAAAAGTTTACAGCATATATATTAGACAAAAATGCATACATGAGTAAAAATATAAAAATCCATTCTGTTATGGGAAAATACTTGCATATGTATTAATTTTGCATAGACTGCAGAAATATTCACAAATTAATGCAAAAAATATAGAGGGAAAAATGAAACTGGAAAAACGAGAAATGGAGAAAATCAAGAATTGACAGAGTCAAGAATCTCCATTTTTACTTAGAAGGCAAATTGTTCCAAATTCTCAATTGATTATGGATCATAGCCTCAGATTTGAAAAAAAAACATGGAAGCCTAAGATATTTATGCTATGTTATTCAATAACTATGCAAAGATTATTTTATGTTTTATGTTTTAGAGAAGGACATGGAAAAATATCTGTGTTTGCTGTCAAAATGGCCTTGGCAACACTTTGTGGAGGAAAGATTATGGATAAATTAAGATGTAAGTCTCTTTATGAATTTTAATAAAATAGTTTGTAAGAATTAGGGAACAATATATGTTTGATTTTTAATATAATAACATTAATCAAAATCAGCAAAAATATTCTTGAACTAATTTGCGTAGGGACTTCATAAAAAATTAACAACAAAAGTGTTGTTAATGTTGTTAATGTCTGTCATCTGGGCTAGATGTATGTGACTTCTTTTAGAATTTTTGAATTAAAATAATCATGTTGCAATTGGTCAAATAAATTATGTGTCCAGTAAAATGCATAATTTGCCATTTATTTTCCTGACTAGTTTTTATAATGTTAAAAACATGCAAAAATACTATAAAATTTGCATAATAGGATCACCCCCCACACCCACCCCAGTGTGTGAGGAGTAAAAAAATATCTCCTTGGTTACTCAGCGTGGCTCAGATGAGCAAAGATTCCCCAGCTTATGCAATGTCATATCATTTTATTGGCCATCAAACTAATATTTGATAAAAAGATAAAAAATTGAGGACTCTATATTAATTACCTATAAAATATTTGTTAAATGTTTTATAGCAGGGGTCCCCAACTCCTAGTCCGCAGACCGCTACCAATCTGTGTCCTATTGGAAACCGCCTGCGCAAACTGTGCAAACCTACATTTGTGCGTGTGTGGGATTAGGTTACATGCGTGAAACCATTCTCTCCCCCCTCCACCACTGCCCTCTGCCGCTGCCAGTCTACGGAGCTGGAAAGATTGGGGACTGCTGTTTTATTTGAGTCCAAAAGCAAAGAGAAAAGCAATCAGCAACACCTTTGAAAAATAGGCCAATTTGGTTATTAGATTAATCAAATTTGCTTAATCGGGTTGCAATTCCAATTAAAATACTGGTTTTAAATAACAAATTCAGTAAAACATTCTGATACAGAGTACACAAGCATAATATAATGACTGATATAGAATCACCCTATATAAAACATTGCATATTTTATTTTTAAAACCAGTTCTCTAATATCAAATATATATTACCAGTCACCTGTCTATTTACTCATTAATTCTATATTTAAACAGGACCTTATTTGCTCTGACCAGATCAAGAAACTCAGAATATATCCAGCAGATGTAGTGAGTCAGTTTAAACACCCTTGGGATAAACACATGTCCATCATCTGATAAAAAATTCAAAATAAAACAAAAATAAATAATATATAAAAATAATAATTAAAATAATAAACACATTTTAAAAAACAAAAAACAAACTCAAAGGCAGATTGGATGGACCACTTTTTTGCCATCGGTTTTCTGTATTTTATTTTATTCTATAAACAACCATCTTCTGGTTTATTGCTATCATTCTGCAAACTAAAAAATATTATCATACAGCAAAGCAAGGAACACACAGGCTAAAATGAAAAATGTGTTGTTTAATAATATTTTGAGAAGACATTGAGACCAAAACTATAGTCACATGCTGCTACATTATGAGAAACAGAAGTAAAATTAAACAACTACTAAAATAACTGACCCACTGCCCCTCCCCCCAAAAAAGACTGAGTTTTCCGGAAGACATCTTCAAGCAGGATCTTAGGGAGAAAAGAGATAACAAGTGTTGAAAGTGGTATTCTGTTTTAGTTATATTAGCCATTTGTTTATGAATATATGTCTATACTGCTTGCCATACAAATACATCTTGAATTATACAACAAAGTAATTAAACATTAGACATTTAGTGCAAAATGGATTTATAATCCATTTTTATGCATGTCTATTTAAAAGTATGCCCCCCTATCTTTTGATAACATTTGTTATTGTTTCACTTTTTGTGAAAAATAAACATTGGCTGCCTCAGTCCTTAGAAACAATGTATATTTGAGAAACCTCACTATACTCAGAGCTTAAACAATGAATTTTTGTTAATTATTATTTTAACTTTGAACCTGAAGACTATTTACGCAGTACTTTTAATTGTTCCTAATAAAGACAGTTCTATACTTGCATTGAGGTCATCTCTGGTAGCGATTTATAGTTCTGTGTGATTTACCATAGTGATGGCAGTGTGGTGCTATATATTGAGGATGTAAGTCATCACTTAGAATATGTTTGCAGTTTGTAGTTCATAGCTTTTCATTTCAAAGTTTCCACTTTTTTTCTCCATCAGATATATTCTCAATGATTTCAGACACTGGTGGGATAATGGTGTATGGAAAATATGACATGTTTTTGCGAGAAGTTCTTAAACTGCCCACTGCAGTCTTTGAAGGTCCTTCTTTTGGTTATACAGAACAATCTGCAAAGTCTTGTTTTTCTCAACAGGTAAATAAAATGTTATTTATGATTTCTTGCTTTTCATCATACTCATACTGGCATACAATGTCAAAATCCAATTATATTTTACTTAATTTTAAATAGGATCAATCTTCTGCACTTGCAATCCAGAATGGTAGTGTATTAGAATTTCATATAGGTATGGCATGGAATATATGTAAATGCCCTCCCTATTTAAAATAAAATATCCTAAAATGGACCTGTGAGATACTGTGAATTTGATGAAAGCCACAGAATGAGTTTGATTATCTTCTCTCCTGCTGGAGAGAAAAAACATATGTACATGAATAATTGGATAAGAAAAATGAGTTCCCTATCCCTTCTTCCTTTTTTTTTCTTGCCTTAAGCAAATCTAGAATTCTGTAGCCTTATTTGCAACCAAATTATTTGATATCTCATCTTGATACTATTCTCAGATAAATATTGTTACTATTCTCAGATAAATATTGTTGGTGATATGATACCATATTCTGAAATATGAAAGTATTATCTCCATAGAGATAGCCAATATTGTGGCCATCAGAGAAGATTCAACACTACTCAGTAAAACTATGTTTTTTAATTCTTTCATCTTAATATACCCATTTTATATACATCCTTTTTCCCTTTTCAGTCACCTCTGATCCCACCAAATCTTCTCAATACTATAGAGAAGGCATATTCAGAAGGAAACAACAATTATTTTTGTGTCCTTTATAGTAGGATGATGGAGCAGGAACACAAACGGAACACAATCATTGAGAAGTAATCAATTCAGGTGTTGAAAAGAAAAAGAATGCTGCTATTATGTATCCTGAGGGAATTCATAACAGTAGTTATTGAATTATTTCTTTGATCAATTATGTGGTTTATAGTTTGGCTGTGAACCCACAACATTAGTGATGTCTTCTTAAAAGGGACTCCTGGATTTTAAGTTACCTTAAACAATATCATAATTATAATTTAATTGCTTGCTTTTCTCATCTACAAATACAGTATATTTTTCTGCTGAGAAAACTAAACTCATCCCATTATTTGCTAAAAAAAATTCTTGCTTTGTTTATGTTAACAGAAAAAAGTTACACTGAATGCTTTTTTGGATACTCTTATGTCTGATCCTCCACCACAATGTCTTGTCTGGTTGCCACTTCTACACCGACTGGCAAATGTTGAGAATGGTATGTAGTTAAAACATGAGGAACAACTGAAATAGCAGTAATAATTCTGGCTATCCTTAATTCATCCCATTCATGATGATTCATAGAAGAAATTAAATTCCTTCCACAATATTAGGGAAGGAAAGTTGTTTATTTATTGGAGCAAAGGGTATATTTTTCTTACTTTAAAAAAGTCACCATGTGTTGTGAGTCTGTGCCAGCCAGTGGACCTGGCAGCTGAGTCCAGGGAATCAGAGGAGGAAGAGGAGGGGTTTGGAGAGCCATCAGAGTCGGAGGAAGGCACTAATGAGTTACAGGACTCACAATCGGATGAAGAGCCTGGCCCCTCCAATCGTGCTCCGGATGAGACTCAGCTGTGTGGGGAGTCAGACTCTGAGGACTCACAGATGGAAGTCATTATAGACGCTCGTAAACGAAGGCAGTTAACTAGAGCAGGTCAGAGGGAGACAATACGGCAACTCCAAGGGAGGAAGAGAAGGCATTGAGAAGCCACGCCTTGGGGCTGTTTAATAAAAAGGGAAGGTGTGGGCGGTGCTGGTTGCTGAAGGCAACCGTTGCAAAGTACTTCATGGGATCATGTTCTGTTGGTGTTGCCAGTGACTAATTCCCTGTTTTGCATTGTGTTTCGTGTGGACAATTTCCTCCATTTGGATTGTGTTTCGTTGCTTTTGTTTTTGGCAGGTTTGTCACCAATATTAAAAGGGGTTTTGTTTTCTTCTGAGTCTCCAGCCTATTTCTCAAAAGGGGTTTTGTCCTTGTGCATTTAACAAGGACGGCCATAGGCTGGGACAGAACACCATGCTGCTACAAGCATACCTGTTGGATCCATTCCTTTGTTCATTTCCTTTCAAAAAACAATTGTCTAACAATGTAACTTTGAAAGAGAAGAAGACAGAGAATTAAACACACAATTACAACGATTTAGGAGTTTTTTAAAGTAAGAAAAACATGCTAAAAGAAACTTTGTCAGGTATTCTTCACTCCACTACTTTCCATCTGCATCTTTTTAAAGAGTCATTTAATCCTTGAAAAGAAAGGAAAAGTGGACATGCTCTTTTCCAAGAGTATATGATTATAAAGGGGACAGTTTCTATTTACACTAAATGCATATTTCTAAAAACAATTAATTTAATTAGTTGCTGACATAACAGACTGATCAAGAAACCTAGCAATGCTTAGTTCCAACAAAACCCAATAATTAAATAAATATTAAAATACCGGTGCAACAGTTTAAATGAAGAGGCAGAACATTTGAAGAGTGAGGAGCCAGACGTATCTCCAAATGGAATGCATTACATAACTCAGGAGAAAGATTTCTACAGTATGTCTGAAAGTGATAGCATCTTAAGAGAGAGAGAGATGTAGATTTTAGCATGCAGAGTCATGATAAGCCCTGCAAAAAGGTATGTGTTTAGTAATTAGGTTTTACATGTTAAAATTAACATTTAAAATAACTAATGTAAGTTATACCTGGAAAATAACAATGGGCAGGTAGTGTCAGGGTGTGATATGGTTCTCATACTGTGCTGTGGCTGGCAACCTACTTCCTGTGCTTTGTATCATTTCAAGTCTCCAGATAAATATAAGCTTAGTCCCATATAGAATATATTGAAAGTCCAGTCACTATGCAAACAAAATAAGAACATAGCTGTAACTACCTCTGAGTGCTTAGTTGGTGCCCTAGATGTAATCATGGAAAGCCATTCCTTGGCACTATTCCATCTGGACTTCTAGCAACATTGAAAAGATTGCAGTTACTCTTTCAATGGGCAGGGAGTCCCATCTAAAAAGACTGAATTCAAATCACCATGACTGTTTTTCTACTAATTACAGTTCTATTGTCTTGTCTGGATTTAATTTATGGTCCCACGGAACTGGGGAAAAAAAGATTGTTTGGAATGTGTTTAAATTCCTATAGCATAGGCATTTCATTTCTGTCTCCTCTTATCTTTTGGTGTATCACTGGTGTATACACCAAAAGCAGTCATCTCCCAAATGGAACCATTATTCTTGCATCTTTGATCTATATCTTCTTTTCTTTCCAAGCTGAACTTAGTAGATTTCTTCCCCTAATATTTTCTTTCATATTTTTGCTGTAGTTTCCCTCTTAGAACCAGTTGATTCATTGAGAGAAAATTGTAATGATTTAGAAATAAATCTGATTTTGAAAATTATAATCACAAGAGGATGTTTCCAAGACTTCTTAATAGCTTCAGTTTTAACAGTATGCTGATTAATTCTTTTATTTGGTTTGAATATATATCCCCCCTGCAGTCTTCCACCCTGTTGAGTGTTCCTATTGCCATAGTGAGAGCATGATGGGATTTCGCTACCGATGCCAGCAGTGTCACAATTACCAGCTCTGTCAAGATTGCTTCTGGAGGGGACATGCCAGTGGTTCCCATAGCAACCAACACCAAATGAAAGAATACACGTCATGGGTAAGGGAAGCTTCATAAATTACTATAGACTGTTTGAACTTAGCAGTCAGAGATTTAGAAATGACTGAATTATTTTCCTTAAGATCACATATAAGAAGCTGATTTTGTTGCCAAGATACTAGAAGTTTTTATAATGGAGAAGCCCTGTCTGGGTTCCTGGCTCAATCAGTTTTAAAATGTCAGATGGGAAGAACTGAATAGTGTGGCTACTACCATCAGTGTGGATCTGAGCAGTCTAACAGGTTAAACTAGGTGGATAACAGAACAGCTGCAGGAGGATCTTGGAATATAAAATTATTTCCACAGTAAGTTACTAATTTTTGTAGGACATAGTCAATATGTTGGCTTTTCTATTTGTTGCTTGCTATATATAATAAGAAATTATATATATATACAGTATATATGCATATATATATATGCATATATATTTACACAAATATACAAATGCATAAAGATATACCTATGCTCATAATACATGCATACCTAAATGATGGTGTGTAGAACTATGAAAACTACTGATTTACTACTAAACTCCATTAGATGTTGATGTTAATATATATATATGCTATATATTCAGCCCACTTGTTTAACTGCTCCTTAGCAGTTCACATTTTTCATATAAGTTCTAGTGCATGAACTCTACTTTATACTCAACTGAACGTATTCATATGGGCTTTCTCCATTTTCCACAAGTATCTAAAATTATATCTGTGATCCACTCTACTGCTAATATAAGCCACAGCTAAATTAATCTAATTCATTAGATTCAAACGTATATGTGATAGACCTCTATGCACGTATTCCTAGCAATTCTGTTAGATCAATAAGATATTCAACAACTGCGGAATAATTAGGTTGTAGATTAAACTCTATGACAGAGAAAGCATTATGAAAATGAAATCTCTTTGTCTCTACAGCTCTACAGCTGTATTATTAGAAAGGATGCAATAGCCACACTAAAAATGCACTTGTACTTGTACTACAGATACTAGATAAAAATTAAAGTTTGCAGTACAAAAAGTGTGGTATAAGAAGCTGATTTTGTAATCACAAATAAAAATTAAAAACTGAGAATCTCTGATTGGGTGATTAGCAATACCAGTTAGATTGGTCATTCAGCGGGCAGTGAATGAAAGATCTGATTCTGCTATGGCTTATGAGCTCTCTCTTCTTAGACATTAATATCCGACATTGTAAAGCAGAAATGTATCTGAATGATGAGTGGCCCGTAGAAAAGTAGAAAAATGTGGTTCTGTATCTCTGTTTTCTTCTTAATCAATACGATTAACTTCCAGATCTGATTTTTCATTAGCAGTTATTTAGAGATTTATGCTTTTAGAATAATGAAGTTTCATGGCAATTTTGGGATTCACTTGTATCCTCTGCATTCTTTCACACAAGGAAAGGTGAAAGGTGAATTGGGAAATACTGTATCTATATGCCAAATGTCTTCTGTAAAAGTCAGACCCTCTTTAAGGTCCATTGATAGATTTATAAGCGTATGCTGATGAAATCATCCAGAACCACAGAATAAATGGACTTTGGGAGTTTATGCATGATAGTAACCAGCAGAATATTGATTTGTTTTGTTTTCTTATCCTTCTACTGCTGGCAACAACAGTATACAGTCCTTATCTATCCAAATTACCTTTACCTTTCTTATTTCTCCCAGAAATCACCTGCTAAGAAGTTAACTAATGCACTTAGCAAGTCTTTAAGCTGTGCTTCCAGCCGTGAACCCTTGCATCCAATGTTCCCTGATCAGCCTGAAAAACCTCTAAACTTGGCACATATAGTGTAAGTATGTGCATGATCTTTGTTCTATATGCTGTTTGTCTTCGCTTAAGGTTAAATAGAAAGAAACCACCTAATATTATGATTTACAAAATTGCATTAATGCTATAATAAGTATAATAATTATAGAACTTATTCACCTATGTGTAACTAACTGACAAAAGCAGCAGCTAATTTTTAAACGTTTTTAAAAACTAAATGCTTGAATTAAATCACAAAATTACATTATTTTGTTGAGAAATAAACTCTACAGTTTATCATTTGGGAATTATCACTATAAATTTCAACTAATTTAATTTAATAAATTTTAATTTTAATGCAGCAAAGTTAGCATAAGTTATAAAGTAATTTAGTTTGGTTCTTTCTCAGTAGTAAGATCATACATACATACATACATACATACATACATACATACATACATATATGCCACTTAGAGGTAGCTACTTCCAAAAGAAAATACTGTTCTGTGTTATGACATGAAATAACCTTTGTTATATGGAAAAGGAACCTTGATATTTTAAATTATTTATTCCTTTCTGCAAGGATGCCTTAATTTTTGAAATATCTTTGAATAACCATTGTGTATCAAATGTTCTGTTTTTCTTTCAAGGAGTACAGTACACATGTTGCACTATGTAGAAAAATTACACACAATTAGGTTGATCCAACAAATGCTATAAATAACAGTGTTATGACTTTTGTGTAAAATAAGTCAGAATCTCTACAAAACCTGGTATCTATAAATGTCTTAAGATAGAAAAATGCAACATTTTAGCTCCAGTTATCCCATATGATGTTAGGACAGCAGCTTCCCTAATATTTATTTATATGATTTACAGATAATTAATTTTCTATTGGAATTTTAAATCATATGTGCATCTAAATGGTATATTGTAAACCTAAATGGTAAATTCTGTATCTAAATGGTCTCGAGAGGAAGACTAAGAGAAAGAGACAAATAATACTAGTTGGGGTTCATTAATAGTTTTATTATAGCAGCCACTTTTTTCATTATATCTATAACCTAATTAATTCAGATATTACTATGAAGATTTATTTTTAGTTTTGATATTGTATTTAACACAATACATTTTTACATTTACATTTGCTCCTGTTTCTTATGTGTAGGTGCAAGTAATATTAGATTACATACAATATTGTAATTCTCTGTGGTTGATTGCAGGTTGGAGTTCACTTAACTTGCTTTGACACAAAGACATTCGCCTAGATATTAAATACTGTGCAATGATTAGTAATTAGGACCAAAGAAATGAACTATTATAAAGTTGATCAATGAAGTTATCAGCCAAAAACAACAGCCTGCTATGAAATTTTTAGAAGCTGTATTAAAGAGCTGAAATGCACAGTGTTTTTCAAAACAGTGGAAAACATATTTGCATCTTCCTTAAGAAATTTGCTCTGAATGAAATGAACAACCCCAAAACTCATTTGGTTTCTTAGGAAATAAAACAAATTAGATAGTTTAGTTTTGTTGATAAAAGACTCCTTAAATGAAGTAGCTGAAATGAAAAGCAAACAGCTATAAGAATAATTTAATAGAATACTATAGTTTTTTTTAGCTGTGTAATGCTTTAGACCAGACATGTCAAACTCTCGATGTCATGTAATGTTGCGCAACATATCGGGATGGTTTTGTCATTGCCGGCAGTGGGGTGGGCGTGGCTTCTGCATGATGCATCCAGCCGGCGGGCTGGCAGTTTGACACCCCTGCTTTAGACTCAAGGTGCTGAACTCAGGGAGCATGAATGCAACATCTATTCACAGTTCATTAAAGCAGCCTCATCTGTTTTGCGCACCTGCTTAGAGGGGGCTTCTGCTGCAGCTATATGATGCTGAAAAAGAGTCTGTTTTAATGAGTTAGATGTGCTATGTTTATGTTTCCCTGTGGTTCTAATGTACCTCTTTAAAAACAAGCCTGAAGAACTGCATAGCTCTATTAGTTTACAGATTCAAGTTAAAGTTAAAGCATGTTAATAAGGTCTAAAGACTGAACTCAAGCAATCCTTAATGTGTAGTAAGTTTTGAAATAAGCTTTATGATATTTTAGTCAAACCCATGAGCTGGTTAACAGCTACATAGTAGATTTAACTTCAAAATGAATATATTTTAAGGTCTAAGACAATTAGCAATCTCTCCTAGAAATTGAGTATGAAATTAATATATGTCAACATGTAAAATTGTAATATGAAAAATTCCCATTTCTAAGGCCAACACTTCTAGCAGTGCAACTTCTTTGTTACTTCTTGCCTTCAGCTCTTTTTCCCATGAACAAGGTGCCTTTGGATGCAAGTCACCATACTCTGCTGCATAGTAGATTTGGCTTTCAAAAAGAGCTTTTTTTTCAGCCTACAAAATAAATCTGAGAAAGAGAAAACAAAATGAAGCTCTTGGGTATAGGGCAGGCTATAAATTTTAGAAATAAATGAATAAACTAGGACAGTGATGGCGAACCTTTTACAGGCCAAGTGCCCAAACTGCAACCCAAAACCCACTTATCGCCGGGTGCCAGGTGGGCGTGGCCCACTGGGTGGGTGTGGTTGTGGTCATGGCAGACTGGGTGGGTGTGGCCAAGGTGGGCGTGGTCACCTCAATGTTGCTCATGTGGAGGGACGCCTGAGGGGGCTGGGCAGGGTTGGGGGAGATCCAGGGGGTCTCTGGCAGGTGCGATGGTGGGCAGGAGGCTCATCCTGTGGGGATAGGTGAGGCAGGATAGGGGTGCTAGTGTCGCAGGGCAAGGCGAGGCAGGGGCCGGAGCGGCTTCTGCCTGACACCATCGGCCCCCACACACAGAGGCCAACGAGTGCATGGGAGCCGACAGTGTCCATCAGCAGCCACAGCCTGCCAGCCCCTTGACTGGCGCACTCTGGGGCTCTGCAGCCCACCCCCAGCAGTTCAGAGAAGCCGCCTCTGAGCTGGACGGACGGCCGACAGTTGAGGAGGCAATGCAGTGGGTCGTGCCCACAAAAAGGAGAGTATGCGAGGCCAGGAGGGATGGGACGGGGGGGAGGGAAACCAGCCATGCTGGGATGCACCCGGCCAAGTGGGACCTCAGTGGGCGGCTGGTTGAAGAGGGACAGTTGCCATCTCCGGGGCATGGTGGGGGGAGAGGGTGGGGGATTGAAGGAGGAGGAGGGAATCAGTACGGTCAGTGGGAGAGGCAGATATGGCGGGAGCAGAGGACCATATCAGGTTAGGGGAGCACGCACACGCTATTTACAAGCTTGTGGGTGCTCCGGTCCTCAGGTCTCCACTCGGTTCCCGGGAGACTCAGACCCTCCGGCCCGGGACCTTCGGNAACTGCTCCTTAGCAGTTCACATTTTTCATATAAGTTCTAGTGCATGAACTCTACTTTATACTCAACTGAACGTATTCATATGGGCTTTCTCCATTTTCCACAAGTATCTAAAATTATATCTGTGATCCACTCTACTGCTAATATAAGCCACAGCTAAATTAATCTAATTCATTAGATTCAAACGTATATGTGATAGACATCTATGCACGTATTCCTAGCAATTCTGTTAGATCAATAAGATATTCAACAACTGCGGAATAATTAGGTTGTAGATTAAACTCTATGACAGAGAAAGCATTATGAAAATGAAATCTCTTTGTCTCTACACATCCTGAGATGATCACAGCTGTATTATTAGAAAGGATGCAATAGCCACACTAAAAATGCACTTGTACTTGTACTACAGATACTAGATAAAAATTAAAGTTTGCAGTACAAAAAGTGTGGTATAAGAAGCTGATTTTGTAATCACAAATAAAAATTAAAAACTGAGAATCTCTGATTGGGTGATTAGCAATACCAGTTAGATTGGTCATTCAGCGGGCAGTGAATGAAAGATCTGATTCTGCTATGGCTTATGAGCTCTCACTTCTTAGACATTAATATCCGACATTGTAAAGCAGAAATGTATCTGAATGATGAGTGACCCGTAGAAAAGTAGAAAAATGTGGTTCTGTATCTCTGTTTTCTTCTTAGTTGTTTTATAATCAATACGATTAAATTCCAGATCTGATTTTTCATTAGCAGTTATTTAGAGATTTATGCTTTTAGAATAATGAAGTTTCATGGCAAGTTTGGGATTCACTTGTATCCTCTGCATTCTTTCACACAAGGAAAGGTGAAAGGTGAATTGGGAAACACTTTATCTATATGCCAAATGTCTTCTGTAAAAGTCAGACCCTCTTTAAGGTCCATTGATAGATTTATAAGCGTATGCTGATGAAATCATCCAGAACCACAGAATAAATGGACTTTGGGAGTTTATGCATGATAGTAACCAGCAGAATATTGATTTGTTTTGTTTTCTTATCCTTCTACTGCTGGCAACAACAGTATACAGTCCTTATCTATCCAAATTACCTTTACCTTTCTTGTTTCTCCCAGAAATCACCTGCTAAGAAGTTAACTAATGCACTTAGCAAGTCTTTAAGCTGTGCTTCCAGCCGTGAACCCTTGCATCCAATGTTCCCTGATCAGCCTGAAAAACCTCTAAACTTGGCACATATAGTGTAAGTATGTGCATGATCTTTGTTCTATATGCTGTTTGTCTTCGCTTAAGGTTAAATAGAAAGAAACCACCTAATATTATGATTTACAAAATTGCATTACTGCTATAATAAGTATAATAATTATAGAACTTATTCACCTATGTGTAACTAACTGACAAAAGCAGCAGCTAATTTTTAAAAGTTTTTAAAAACTAAATGCTTGAATTAAATCACAAAATTACATTATTTTGTTGAGAAATAAACTCTACAGTTTATCATTTGGAAATTATCACTATAAATTTCAAACTAATTTAATTTAATAAATTTTAATTTTAATGCAGCAAAGTTAGCATAAGTTATAAAGTAATTTAGTTTGGTTCTTTCTCAGTAGTAAGATTATACATACATACATACATACATATATATATGCCACTTAGAAATAGCTACTTCCAAAAGAAAATACTGTTCTGTGTTATGA